TTTATTTATTTTGTAATGGCTAAAGTCTCATTTACGAGTCTTTAGAAAAAAAAAGTAAAAGAAGACAAAAAATTTATAGACAAGTTTTTAAGACTTTAAAATGGATAAAGATTTTAAAGCATGTTTGGCAAAAAAACAATCTTTAATTGTTGTAGAATTCTTTAAAGCATTAAAAGACTATTGCCAAGCACTCTCATGATTTTTTTTTTTTTGTGGGAAAAAGAAAACTATGATGACGTGTAGTTACATGATTAATTTGAGGGAAAACAAATTATTCTAAATGACATTTATAGAAATGACTGGTAAATTATTTACTACCATCATGGTAGTACGGGACAGGACGCCATTTTACCGAAGACGTTTTGGGGATGGAGACATGCCAGAAACGGCTTGGGATGTTTCGGGAGCGATTCGTGTTAACTATGGATAGCAATCAATTTTGGAGACGTTTCAGAAACTTTTTATGATTAAAAATAGGTGTTCTCAATGAGTTTATATGTATTTAACTTCTTTTTTTCAAAAGAAAAATATAAAAGAAAGGGAAAAGTCTTAGTAAACTCACTTCTTTATGTTCAGTATACAAAAAAATTTAAGATCTTTCTTTTTATTTAAGATATTAGACTAGGTTTTTTCTTCTTATGTTTTGATTTATATGATACTTATTTTCTATATGTGTATTTTTGCGTATACTATAATATATTGCCATACCCGCTGCTTTAAATTTTTGATTTTGCCATTTTTCGTCTCCGTTTCTATCCTCGTATCCGTTCCGGTGCAACTTATGCCATATTTTCATGGGTTAATTAGCTAAATATCACTTTTATGAGAAATATTTAGGTAACTAACATGTCAAAAATATGGGGAAATTACAAAAATGCCACTTTTATGTGCACATTTACAAAAATGCCACTTATGGATGTTCATTTGCAAAAATGTCACTAATTCTAGATTTTTAAACCCTATATTTTAAAACTCTAAACACTAAAAAATGTTTTGATCCCTAAACCCCCATAAACCCTCATAACTAAACCCTAATAGAACATAATTAACCCAAACATAAATAATATAAAGAAAAAATAATTTTGAAAAAATGGCATTTTTGTAAAGATTTCAAAAGTGTGGCATTTTTGTAAAGTGACACTTGAAAAGTGGTATTTTTTGAAATTTCTCAAAAAATATAATTAGGTAAGTAGCAAAAAGAATTAATTATAGGAGAAAATTGCCCCTACATGTAATTAAGGTAAGTATAGAAGAAAAAAAATCTAAAAATATTAAATGTTGTAACAATTAACTATTTAATATTTTTAGATATTTTTTCTTCTACCATAGTTGACTATTTTCGTAACTACATATTATATTAATCTCAGAAGGTAGTGAACTATCTCACACTATTTTGTTACTATCTAAAACATAGTTAACTATTTTTCAGAAAATAGTTACAAGTCTAAAAYCATAGTTAACTATTTTCATAYCATAGTTAACTATTTTCGTAGCATAGTTGTATAACTCTACTAATTTCATAACATATTAACTATACGAAAATATTATTATAATAGTAAGTTATGTAGACAAATATAGTTAAGTATGTTAAGAACGTAGTTACCTATAATAGTTTGAAGAAGAAGAAGAATGTGAACGGAGGAGGATTTAACATATTAGGGTTAGAAAAGATTTTGTAAAAACGAGATTTTAAGTGTCAAATGCTTGTTACTATATTTTGTTAGTTATAGGTGGAAAGATTAATATACAGTCTCCCTATTTTCATTATGTAAAAATGTAAGAAATTTAATTTAAAACTTAGCTTAATAAACAAGAAATCATGCAGTTTTTGAGTCGATACTCTATCTAACTCATGATTTTCAAAAACTTAATGGCACTAATTATAATAAATATATGAATCAATTTTCTGTATCAAAATTTTTGTTTATCAATTTTGAATTGACGCAAACTCAAACCAAAATATTTAGTACTGGCATATTATTTTGTAAATTGTTTAAAGAGGAAAAAAAAAGTTTTGAAGTCTTTAACAAAATTAGGGGGGGTAT